GAGCTGGAGTGACAGTATAAGGGAAAGACAAAAATAGTACAAAGCTATCTCACCATTTTTAAGTTATTTTGTTTTCTTTATTGAGCATTCAATGGATTCTATAAGCCTTTCATCATTATTTAGAATTCTAACAAAGTTGATTCTGATAGATTTTGCTTGAATTTTCCAGTCTTTCTGAGGAGTAAAAAGCCCTTGAAGCTACCTATTCTGACATTTATGTTAATGGCAACTCCTGGTCAATTTTATTCTACCAGGTATCTGGTCTTTCTCTTTCAACCTTAGAGTTCCATATGTATTAATAGTATTGTAACTGAAAGTTTGGCCTCTGAACTCGATGCCAATCCAAATAATGAGAACACATTCTTCAGTGGAAAAGGAAAGTCTTTACTCTGCCAGGCAAAGTGTGCAAAGGAAGGGCTCGTGCCTCAAAAATTGCTAGCTCCCTGTTAAGAAAGGGCTAAGGGTTTTTATTTAAGGTTTTGGGTAGGGGAGATGGTGCATGTAGCTTTGCTGGCTGGTGTTTCTCTACTAGCCTGGGTTTGGCCTTGAGAAGCTGCTCATGGTCGGGGGATGGTGAGATAGGGGGATTGCTGGTGGGCTTCCTTGGCTGTCATATCTTCATCATGGATGGTAAATTTGGGCATCTGGGAGCTGAGGAGTTGAGGTTTGGGAAGCCCCAGCTTTCCAATATTCTGGAGACAGCAGTTTCCCTGGTAGACTTCGAGAATGCATGATTAGCTAAAACTTTAGCTTGCCCCTACTCCAGGCCACCAGGGCTTTAAAAATGCGTAAATCCTATTTGGTTGTAGAGCTCAAGGAGTCGAAAGCTAAGGAAACGGGTATTTACATATGAGTGTATCTAGAGAAGCCTAAAAGGGGGAAGTGTGTTTTAGTTTTAACGCCATATATGCTGAGTTCAATGTAGGAGAACCGTTGTCTGGGTTGATGGTGAAAGCCTGTAACAGATTCCCCACTGTCATTAGCTTACTTTCCGTTTCTATGGAAGAGGGGCCCCGTGGTTGTCTAGCTGCTTCCTGCTGTATTGGGACAACGTTAGGGGATTTTTGCGGTAGAAAGATTGAACATGTTTTTGTCAATTTTCTCTGCTGATGGTTACTGTTTTAGTTGCAGTCCTATAGACACTGGGACTACAAAAGAAAAAGAACTTAAACATAATGTATATCCCAGCCAACAATAGGAGCATAGATAAACCAAAATGTAAAATGCCAGACAATGTAGACTGGATTTCTTCTGGAAAATCCAGAAGAAATTCAGGAAGTCCAGGAAAATAGAAGAAGAAATCCAGGAAAATAAACTTGAAAACCAGTTACCAATATCTGCTTTCATTCCATCTAGGATGGAAGTATGTTGATCTAACATTTGCTGTAACCAAACATTGTCTGATTTTCCAGTACTAGTCTTCACTTGTGATGAAGTGTTTATATATGTGTAACAAGAGGTGTTAACTATAGTGCAAACTCCACCTTGTTAATCTAGAATATAGTCCTAGGCCATATGATTATCCAATATGACTTTTGCTAAAGAGTTGAGAGAGGTTTGTATGTTAAGAAGGGACTTGGCAGTTTCATTTGCGATGATATTCAGAGTGTGAGACAGATTGCGGAGTACGTGTTGGTGGGCCACGACTCTGCACCAGTGCAATAGAGTATATCCAAAGAAATATCCATCTCCATCAGGAAGGAAACAAGCAAGATGTTTTCCGGCCTGTTCAGTTAAAGAATGTGCATCATTAGGAGACAAGAAATTCAGAGAACTTAGTCTTCATTTTTGTAAAGAATCACCCCCCACCAAAGACAAAGCTGTATATAAGATTCTTCACAATGAGACCAAAGCTAATTAGCTATGTGGGAGAGTGAGCTACTGCTGCCACAGAGATGACCAAAACTTAGCCCATTTTTAGTTTCTCTTGGGGAATAAATTTTTGGGTCACACTGGTTTCCCTGAGAGACATATTAAAAGAATTGCCTGGTGATGAAACAGAGGGGAAGAGGGAGGATTTAGTGTTAATAAATAATAATCTCTTTATAGGGTAGATGATCTGGGGAGTACGAGTTGCTTGGAATAACTGACATAAGAGTGTGAAAATGCATCCTGAGTGGACAGACACACCTTCATGCAAAGGACTGTGAATGAAGCTTGAAGAAATAAACCTAAAACCCATGATATGTCAAGGACACTCATAATTTATAGAAGGGGAATGAATTGATTATTTTCCTATTATCAATTATAGCAATGTTTATCTGTGAATGTCTACCTGTGCGCCCTAACTTTGGAGTGCTGAAGATAAAGGTATTCTTGAATGTTTTTTATCTTTATCCTTCCTGAGTTGACTGGATACAATAATATTTGTATTTTATGGGATCAATTTCTTAAGAGATCATGGGAAAACATATACAAACCTAAAAAAAAAAAATAAGGAGTTGTTTCGAGTTGTCTGTAATAGGAGCATGTTTGCCTTAGAGAAAGATAATAGTTCAAGGGGCCTATGATAAGCCATCAAGACAAGCCTAGTGTATCTCTCTGAAGAAGCCTGGCTTTATCTGTGATGTGTAGATACAAAGAATCTGATCTCCAGGTTATCATGGGGGTTTCAAAATGTCAAAGCCTTATCTTTGTTTATATTATCAATGTTTAGAGCTGTATTCCATTTCCTCTTGTTCAGAATTAAGAGAAAATTATATTCTCTAGAATAGCTGCAGAATGATGTATGGTGGTAAATTAATTTTTGAAAAATATTGATATTCCAAAGATTTATAAGTAAGGATAAAAACTGGAGGACAATGTAGGCAGATTTTTTTTAAAAAAAATGAATATGGATGCATGATAAGTTACATAAATCATACTATATATAAAATGAAGTAAAACAATTTAGTTGTTTAGCGGAAGCACAACTACTCTCAGATTAAAGGAAAATTTCTCCTGTTGCCCCACAGAGGGCTCTTCTGTAACGTAGTACAGACCCCATTAATGATTCTATCATGCCAATGTGCTCATGTCCTGATATGTCTTTGTTCTAATTGGGAGACTAGGGTACCAGGCAGAACAACATATTAAAATAAATGAGGGAGAACCTAGGCAGAAATAAGTTCCTAGGGAGATGGCCAGCCAGGCACAGAGCATGCTGTGATTTGAGGGCCATCTCCTGGGGCGTGGGTCATAGATTTGCGTGGCAGGGGAGAAGGCTCCTAGGGCAGCAGAGGAGGAAGAGTTATTAACATAGAGTTCCTGAGAAGTAGAGGTATCAGAGAGAGCTGAGACCAATGATTTGCAAGCTGCTTCAGCTGAGCTTGGCGGAGATTTGAATTGACCTAAGCCTGCAAGAGGAACTCATCAGTAGATTTCACCGCAGAGAATGGAAGAGATAGAGGCAGAGAAAATTGAGAAGAGGAGATAGAATAAGGGAGGGAGTACTTTCATCTTAGGACTTTAGATCAAATACAAAAAGAAAATCCAGACACCATTTAATAAATTATTCATATTGCAGAATTTTTACTCTTTATTGGGTTTATGTATTTATTTAATAATAAATACTTATTGATCATTTTCTAAACTGCATTGGTGATGTTATTCCAGTAAACATGATTAACACAGCCCCTCCTTACATGGAACTTAAAATGTAATGAGGAAGACGTATTGTATAAGAAATTATGAGTGCAAGTAATATTACAGATGAGGTAAAAGAAAGTGCTATAATAATATGCAGTGGAAAGAGATCTCCTGGATACAAGGTAGGAGGAAAACCAGGAGACTGTAGTGTTTTGTAGTGTTTCAGAAGTCCAGTAGGGTATTTGAAGGAGAAAGCAGTTAGCAATGATTAAGCAAAGAAAAAATTCCGATCCAGATGAATAACAAAACATCTAAACGTATTATTGATTCATTTATAGAGAGGAAGTCAGAGATGTTATTGGAAAGGTTTCTAGAGAAACACAGACAAAACGAATATGCAATATTTTCTTTTAATTGAGTAAATTTTATTTACAGAGCAGTAAAACAAATATATGAACATTTTTTACACAGAAAAAATTATGTGTATTTTCAATAAACTTTTTTATTCCCAATATAAAAATCCTCAATTAAATTGAATATACCTCACTATTTTTGGTTTTACAATTATCCAAGACTATCAAACACAGGTATAGAAATTCTTGGGGGGATCTTTTGCTTGACCAGGATACGATATTCGAGGAAACCAGGACCTCTAAACACACATCCTTGGGTGATTATTCTCCTGTGAAACAAATATTATGTCAATGCCCTTTTTTGAGAATAAACAGGGATGATTTAATATTGGAAGGTTTTCATTTTTAGAATAATAGAGAGGCATTAAAAAGTGCAAAAAGCTCTAGTTTATATTTATCTTAAGTATTAATAGCATTACAGAAATTTTTTCTCTGCCTGTAATTACTCAAATCTAAACGCAAAACTGAAATAGCATTCTAAACTGAGGAAGCTCAAGATAAAGTCAGATCTGAGTTCAGGGCTTAACATAAGTAACACACCACTGATTTTTCTTCTTATTATAAGTCAAACTAAAATTAAAATAGAAATTAAAAAAACATACTTTATTGACTTATGATTTACCCAAACTCACATTTTATCTGTTGCATCTGTAATTTTTCTATGAGATATATTTGCCAATTTTTTTTAGGTATTTGTTTAAAATTGAGAGTAAATACAATTAGCAATACTCAGAAAAATGTCACCCAGAAAATGATATTGGAATATTATTAAGTTTACTCCTGGAAGTCATCTTAGTTTTTCAGTCTCATGTCTCTTCTCAATGGAAGTACATGAATGAAGTTAATTTATTCTCTGTGGTTGGCAAAATAAACTCTAACTTGACAACCAATTTCCAGAGTTGTGCATTTGTTAAATTATCTCTCCAAATAGTAGCTCTTACCATAGGAGTGATGATAGCCACATGGCTCTATGTTCTTGGTGAGCCTGAAGCATGTTGTATTCTAGATCTGTTCTGTTCCTCATGAGATCTTGCTAGAACCCACAATCCATTTGCCCAGTTTTCTCATGGCCACTCTCATGTCTTTGTTTCTTTTTTTTTTTTTTTTTTTCTTTTTTTTTTTTTTATTAATGTTATGATAGATTACAACCTTGTGAGATTTCAGTTGTACATTTTTGTTAGTCATGTTGTGGGTACACCACTTCCCCCTCCGTACCCTCCCCCCACCCCCCCTTTCCCTGGTAACCACCAATCAGATCTCCTTCTCAATATACTAATTTCCACCTATGAGTGGAGTCATATAGAGTTCGTCTTTCTCTGACTGACTTATTTCGCTTAACATAATACCCTCGAGGTCCATCCACATTGTTGTGAATGGGCCAATTTCGTCTTTTTTTATGGCTGAGTAGTATTCCATTGTGTATATATACCACATCTTCTTTATCCAATCATTAGTTTCTGGGCATGTAGGCTGGTTCCACGTCTTGGCTATTGTAAATAATGCTGCAATGAACATAGGGGTGCAACGGACTCTTGAGATATCTGATATCAGGTTCTTAGGATAGATACCCAGTAATGGGATGGCTGGGTCATAGGGTATTTCTATTTTTAACTTTTTGAGAAATCTCCATACTGTTTTCCATAGTGGCTGTACCAGTTTGCATTCCCACCAACAGTGTATGAGGGTTCCTCTTTCTCCACAACCTCTCCAACATTTGTCGTTCTTGGTTTTGGATGTTTTTGCCAATCTAACGGGGGTAAGGTGATATCTAGTGTAGTTTTGATTTGCATTTCCCTGATGATTAGCGATGATGAACATCTTTTCATGTGTCTATTGGCCATATTCATATCTTCTTTTGAGAAATGTCTGTTCATGTCCTCTGCCCATTTTTTGATCGGGTTGTTTGTTTTTTTGTTGTTAAGTAGTGTGAGTTCTTTGTATATTATGGAGATTAACCCTTTGTCGGATAAGTGGCTTGTAAATATTTTTTCCCAATTAGTGAGCTGTTTTTTTGTTTCAATCCTGTTTTCCCTTGCCTTGAAGAAGCTCTTTAGTCTGATGAAGTCCCATTTGTTTATTCTTTCTATTGTTTCCCTCAACTGAGGAGTTACAGTGTCCGAAAAGATTCTTTTGAAACTGATGTCAAAGAGTGTACTGCCTATATTCTCTTCCAAAAGACTTATTGTCTCAGGCCTAATCTTTAGGTCTTTGATCCATTTTGAGTTTATTTTGGTGTGTGGTGAAAAAGAATGGTCAATTTTCAATCTTTTGCATGTGGCTGTCCAGTTTTCCCAGCACCATTTGTTGAAGAGACTTTCTTTTCTCCATTGTAGGCCCTCTGCTCCTTTGTCGAAGATTAGCTGTCCATAGATGTGTGGTTTTATCTCTGGGCTTTCAATTCTGTTCCATTGATCTGTGGACCTGTTTTTGTACCAGTACCATGCTGTTTTGATCACTGTAGCTTTGTAGTATGTTTTGAAATCGGGGATTGTGATTCCGCCGGCTTTGTTTTTCTTGCTCAGGATTGCTTTAGCAATTCGCGGTCTTTTGTTGCCCCATATGAATTTTAGGATTGTTTGTTCAATTTCTGTGAAGAATGTTCTTGGGATTCTGATTGGGATAGCATTGAATCTGTATATTGCTTTAGGTAGTATGGACATTTTAACTATGTTTATTCTTCCAATCCATGTGCAAGGGATGTCTTTCCATCTCTTTATGTCATCGCCTATTTCTTTCAAGAAAGTCTTGTAGTTTTCATTGTATAGATCCTTCACTTCCTTGGTTAAGTTTATCCCAAGGTATTTTATTCTTTTCGTTGCGATTGTGAATGGGATAGAGTGCTTGAGTTCTTTTTCTGTTAGTTTATTGTTAGTGTATAGAAATGCTACTGATTTATGCACATTAATTTTATACCCTGCTACTTTGCTGTAGTTGTTGATTATTTCTAATAGTTTTTCTGTGGATTCTTTGGGGTTTTCTATGTATAAGATCATGTCGTCTGCAAACAACGAGAGTTTTACTTCTTCGTTACCTATTTGGATTCCTTTTATTTCTTTTTCCTGCCGAATTGCTCTGGCCAGCACCTCCAGAACTATGTTGAATAGGAGTGGTGAAAGTGGGCACCCTTGTCTTGTTCCTGTCCTCAGAGGGATGGCTTTCAGCTTTTGTCCATTGAGTATGATGTTGGCTGTGGGTCTATCATATATGGCCTTTATTATGTTGAGGTACTTTCCATCTATACCCATTTTACTGAGGGTTTTTATCATAAATGGGTGTTGGATCTTGTCGAATGCTTTCTCTGCATCTATTGAGATGATCATGTGGTTTTTGGTTTTCATTTTGTTAATGTAGTGTATCACGTTGATTGACTTGCGGATGTTGAACCATCCCTGTGTCCCTGGTATAAATCCCACTTGATCATGGTGTATAATCTTTTTGATGTATTGCTGTAATCGGTTTGCCAAAATTTTGTTGAGGATTTTTGCATCTATGTTCATCAGTGATATCGGCCTGTAGTTCTCCTTCTTTGTGTTGTCCTTGTCAGGTTTGGGGATCAGAGTGATGTTGGCTTCATAGAATGTGTTAGGGAGTTCTCCATCTTTCTCAATTTTCTGGAACAGTTTGAGGAGAATAGGTATTAAGTCTTCTTTGAATGTTTGGTAGAATTCTCCAGAGAAGCCGTCTGGTCCTGGACTCTTATTTTTGGGGAGGTTTTTGATTACCGTTTCTATTTCCTTACTTGTGATTGGTCTATTCAGATTCTCCATTTCTTCCTGATTCAGTTTGGGGAGATTGTAGGAGTCTAGGAATTTGTCCATTTCTTCCAGGTTGTTCAATTTGTTGGCATATAGTTTTTCATAGTATTCTCTTATGATCTCTTGTATTTCATTGGTATCTGTTGTGATTTCTCCTCTGTCATTCCTGATTTTATTAATTTGCGATTTCTCTCTTCTTTTCTTGGTGAGTCTGGCTAGGGGTTTGTCAATTTTGTTAATTCTTTCGAAGAACCAACTCTTTGTTTCATTGATCCTTTCTATTGTCTTTTTTGTTTCAATATCGTTTATTTCTGCTCTTATTTTTATTATTTCCCTCCTTCTACTGACTCTGGGCCTTGTTTGTTCTTCTTTTTCTAGTTCTGTTAGGTGTCGTTTGAGGTTGCTTACGTGAGCTTTTTCTTGTTTAGTGAGGTGAGCCTGTATTGCGATGAATTTCCCTCTTAGGACTGCTTTTGCTGCATCCCAAATGATTTGGTATGTCGTGTTCTCACTTTCATTTGTCTCCAGATAATATTTGATTTCTTCTTTAATTTCTTCAATGATCCATTGTTTGTTGAGAAGCGTGTTGTTTAGTCTCCACATTTTTGCACCTTTCTCTGCTTTTTTCTTGTAGTTGATTTCTAGTTTAATAGCGTTATGATCAGAAAAGATGCTTGATATTATTTCAACTCTCTTGTATTTATTGATGTTTGCTTTGGTTCCCAAAATATGGTCAATCCTTGAGAATGTTCCATGTGCACTTGAGAAGAATGTGTAACCTGCTGTTTTTGGATGAAGTGTTCTATATATATCTATTAAGTCCATCTGGTCTAATTTTTCATTTAATTCTATTATTTCCTTGTTGATTTTCTGTCTGGATGTTCTGTCCATTGGTGTTAATGGTGTGTTGAGGTCCCCTACTATTATTGTATTGTTGTTGATGTCTTCTTTTAGTTCTATTAAGAGTTGCTTTACAAATTTTGGTGCTCCTGTGTTGGGTGCGTATATATTTATAAGTGTTATGTCTTCTTGGTGGAGAGTCCCTTTTATCATTATATACTGTCCCTCTTTGTCTTTCTTTATCTGTTTTGCTTTGAAATCTACCTTGTCTGATATTAGTATAGCGACACCTGCTTTCTTTTGTTCATTATTAGCTTGGAGTATTGTTCTCCATCCCTTCACTCTGAGTCTGTGTTTGTCTTTGGGGCTGAGGTGTGTTTCCTGGAGGCAGCATATTGTTGGATCTTGTTCTTTGATCCATCCTGCCACTCTGTGTCTTTTGATTGGGGAGTTCAATCCGTTTACATTTAGAGTGATTATTGAGACGTGGGGGCCTTCCACTACCATTTTGTGTCTTGTTTTCCGGTTTTCTTCAGTTTCCTTTGTTTCTCGTCCCATGGTTTAATCTGTTCTGATGTAGAGCTGCTACTCTCTGTTGTTGTCCTTCTACTTATCTCCTCTGCTCTTGGTTTTGTAGCCCCTTTCCTTTTTTGGATTTTTCAGGAATGAGGGTTTTCCTGAGGATTTCCTGAAGAGGAGGTTTTGTGGCAATGAACTCCCTTAATTTTTGTTTATCTGGGAAAGTTTTTATTTCTCCATCGTATTTGAAGGATATTTTCGCTGGGTAGAGAATTCTCGGCTGTAGGTTTTTGTCCTTCAGATTTTTGAATATATCCTTCCACTCTCTTCTAGCCTGTAAAGTTTCTGCTGAGAAATCTGCTGATAGCCTGATGGGGGTTCCTTTGTAGGTTAGTTTCTTTTGCCTGGCTGTCCTTAATATTTTCTCCTTGTCGTTGACTTTTGCTAGCTTCACTACTATATGCCGTGGAGTTGGTCTTCTTGCATTGATAAAGTTTGGAGATCTATTGGCTTCTGTCACCTGAAGATCCATCTCCCTCACCAGATTTGGGAAGTTCTCAGCCATTATTTCTTTGAATAGGTTTTCTGCCCCTTTCTCCTTCTCTTCTCCCTCTGGTATACCTATAATCCTTACGTTGCATCTCCTAATTGTGTCTGATAATTCTCGGAGAGTTTCTTCATTTCTTTTAAGTCTTGCTTCTCTCTCCTCCTCTGCCTGCAACAATTCTATATTGCCATCTTCCAAATTGCTAATTCTTTCCTCCATATTATCGGCCCTACTGTTCAGAGCATCTAGATTTTTCTTAATCTCCTCTATTGTGTTCTTCATTTCCAGTATTTCTGTTTGGTTCTTCTTTATCGTATCAAACTCTTTTGTGACATAGCTCCTGAACTCGTTGAGTTGTTGGTCAGAATTCTCTCTTAACTCAGTGAGTATTTTAATGATGGCTGTTTTGAAGTCATCATCATTTAGCTTATATATCTCATTTTCTTTGGGATTGTTTTCTGTGTATTTGTTACTTTCTTTCTGTTCTGGAGATTTAATGTATTTTTTCATATTGCTTGATGATGTTGATTTGTGCCTCCGCATGGAGATAGAGTTTAGTTGCTCCTTTCACTTGTTTCAGCTGCTGCGGTGGGGGGAGCAGCTGTTTATACTTCACCAACCAGGAACCCTGTCCGTAGTTGCTAACTGGGCCTGGGCCCCTCTTCGTAGCCACAGTAGCCCTTTGGATTCCCTCCTCTGCCGTGGGGGCCGTCACGGGGGGCTTCAGGCTGCAGGTGCCTACTGTTGTTGCCCACCTAGATGCGCTCTCTCCTTGGGGTCTGCAACGGTGTTATGGGCTTTTCCAGCGGCCAGGGGTGGGATCACTTTTATTTGTCGCTCGGTTGCTGTCGGCACCCACCAAATCTCACTTGTCCTCTATGGGTCACAGGAGAGCTATTGGCATCTTCTACAGTCTGTGGTTAGTACACCTAGCTATGCTGCTTTTGCCCTGGGGTCTTCCAGCCTTGTGGCTGGCGGCTGGGTGCCTTCTACTGGTGCTGTGCAGAGGCTTTCCCTAAGGCTTCTGTGAGCCTGTAGGGTTTCCCCCTAGGCTACTAAGCTGGGTCTCTGGAACTCTCTCCAGCCCCAGTCCTCTCCGGGATCTCCGGCAATCCCTAGCCTCACCGGGTGGGCAACGGCAGCTGGGGGTCGCCCCGCCCTCTGGGCTTCTCTCCGGGCCTCTGCCGGGAGCTCTGAATGCTCAGCGTGGCCCCTCTGCTACCGGCAGACAGAGAGTTTTGTCTGCTGCCTGGCGGAGCTCCGGCGCTTCCCCTCCGGGTCGCCGGACCCGCCTTTGGAAGTTCCCCCGCCCCGGTCCTCTCCGAGATCTCCGGCAATCCCTAGTCCCACGGGGCGGGCATCGGCAGCTGGGGGACGCCCCGCCCTCTGGGCTTCTGTCCGAGCCTCTGCCGGGAGCCCTGAGTGCTCAGCGTGGCCCTCTGCTACCGGCAGACAGAGAGTTTTGTCTGCTGCCTGGCGGAGCTCTGGCGCTTCCCACCGGGTCGCCGGACCCGCCTTTGAAGTTCCCCCGCCCCGGTCCTCTCCGAGATCTCCGGCAATCCCTAGTCCCACGGGGCGGGCAACGGCAGCTGGGAGACCTCCGTGCCCTCCGTGTCTCTCTCTGGGACCCTCCGGGCGCCCCGAGCACCAGGCCGGGTCTCCCCGCCAATGGCGGGGAGAGACTCTCCCCGCGGGCTCAGGTGTGCAACTCCAAAGTTTCCCTCTGCGTTTAGGAGTAATTGCGGGGGGTTTAAGTAGGGTTCTGGTCACCTGTTTCCACCGTCGCTCCTCTGTTGTGTTCTCGCTCCTGCCCTAGATGTGTGTGGATCCTCTGGGGGCGTCCGTTGGAAGAAAGCCGCTTGCGGGTACTAGGCTGCCCGTCGGGGTCGGAGAGTTTTCACCTATTTCCACATCCTCCCGGAGGAAAGTCCGTCCGCCTTCCGATGTATAGTCGCGTGGGTGTCTCAGACGTCCTGAGATGCTGTCTGGATATCCTTTGTCAAGCGATAAGTGTCCAAATAATTGTAGACTCGAAGGGCGAGAGACAAAGAGGACTACTCACGGCGCCATCTTCCAGACATCATGTTTTGAGGAAGCCTAAACTACCCCACATGCAGAGAAAATCCATGTCTTTGTTTCTTAATGTATAGATGGCAGGATTTAAGACAGGGGTGATAGCAAAGTCAACAATGAACAAATACTTATCCAGTGATGTTGTAGGGAAAGGCCACACATAGAGAAATATGCATAGCATGAAAAACAAAATCACTACAGTGATGTGAGCTGACAATGTGACAAATGCTTTGGATAAATCCCCTGAAGAAAGTTTCCAGACAGTGACCAAAATGAAGACACAGGATATAATTAAGGAGAAGAACGTAGCCATAGACATAAATCCACTGTTAGGAAGCAAGCAAGTTTCATGACCCGAGGAAAATCACAGTAAAAACTATCTACTTTATTAGGGCCACAAAAGGGCAAATTTATGACAAAAACAAACTGAGATACAGCATGGATTATCCCCACTATCCAGGCAGCCACTACAAAGGAAACACACGTTTTGGGGCTCATGAATGTCAGGTAGTGGAGTGGCTTACAGATTGCAGTGTACCTGTCATATGCCATTGCTATGAGCAGCACCATCTCAACTCCGCCCATGACATGAATAAAAAATATCTGCATCATGCATTTTGGAAGAGAAATGATGTTGCAGTCAGTGAACAGATCAGAGATCATTTTGGGCACTGTGGTAGAGGAAAGACCTAGATCAAGAAGAGAGAGGTTGGCCAATAAGAAGTACATGGGGGAGTGTAAATGAGAGTCAAAAATTACTGTGGACACAATGAAGAGGTTACCCAGGATAATTCTCAGGTAGAACACAGAAAAGAACCAAAGGAGAAAAAGATGCATCTCCCATGAATTTGAAAGTCCAATCAATACAAATTCAGATACTATAGAGTCATTTGCTCCATTCATTGATTCAATCAGTAGAGAAGAAGCTGAAGTATTCTGAAGGTAGAAAATAAGGAAAAATTGAGAAACAGGGTGCTAAACATTGATAGATTGTCTACCCATTAATGATTTTGTGCAAAATAGTTTCAAGTGTGAAAATGTGAAGTTAGAAAACATACAGAAAGAGCATGTGAAAAGATAGATGAATAGGAGAAGTGAGACAATCAAAATTTAGCTCAGAGACACAAGGAAAGAAATCATGTAGGAATCTGGCAAGTAAGGTGGAAGAATTAGTAGCTTAGTTCTGCTAAAATGCTATTTGAACGTGTGTAAAATTGCTGCCAAGAACTTTTTTAGAGACCATCTGTTGTTATCACTGCAAATGAGAAGAAAGTTTGAAGATGTCTATTTATAACATATATTTGGATAAATTCATTGTCTAATCTAAAGTAAAACATTAGAAGTTCATTTAAAGGAAATAATAAGATATGAGAAAATATGCAGAAAGGGGAAATTGATAAGACTCATACCAAAAGGGATGTTGCCATTATCAATGATGCAAATTTAGATTTGTTGACATGTTCACTAAATTATTAAGTAAAAAAAAAAATTGGTTACAAAGGAGTGTGTCTTATGTGATATGCTCTTTATACATATGCACTACAAAAATATGTAAGTATACACATCAACATCTCAAGTAGATCACGTTGGACAATTACATTTTATGTAATTTTAATATTAATATTAACTATCTATATTTTGTATTTTTCTATATTGGCCATGTGTTTGTAATAAAAGTTATGAAAATTAAATTGACAAGACAGAAAGAGGGTCAAGGAAAGGAAAAAGAATACTTTGGAATTTAGGGAGAGATTGGAGTATACATATATGTGACAGAGGTAGGTTATTATTATTATTATTATTTTGGCACTAGTTTCGTAGTTTTACTAGCCCTGGTTAAACTATCATTTCTTGGTCAGTGAATGACAACTACTAGATATACAGTCAAGAAAATCTGAGTGTTTTATGCCAAATTTTAAACTGAAATGTACATGCTTCCTCGTTTACAGAAAAATGAATATAGTTGAATGAGTTTTGAATCAAGGAATACAAATGATTGGTAACTGGATGGCATTTTATAGAGTCCTGATGTGACCATTACTTGGAACAGGCAACTCATACAATGAAAACAATGGAAAAGCACTAATATAAGCTTAGCTTGTCAGTAGAATTTTATTCTCCCTAATATTCCCTTGTATTTTTGAAAGCAGATTAAGGCTGACTGAAGAAACCTGTCTAAAATGAAAAGCTAAAAATACCTGGTGAAACTAGATTTACTAGTAACTCTGCTACTACTACATTGTGGTCATAACCTTGTTTAAAGAGAAGCCCATCTTTTGTTCAAGACTTATTAAGAATTGGTTCTAACATTTAGTCAGTTAGTCTTGGAATACTGAGTTTATGTTTGGAGCGTATGGGAAGAGTGCATTTAACCCAGTCAGAAAATATTTAGTTCTTTTGGTTTCTTAGAAAACATTAAAGAATCAGACTTTCTCTGGAGGCAGAGTCTCATAAGAGTTGATTCATATCCCTGCTGAATATTGGTTTAACATTCAGAACATGAGGACATTTCAGATAGGTAATGCAGGAAGTCAGATAGAATTAGGGTCTCCTGATATTAGAGATTGAAATTGCCCTCTCCTCTAAGGGATCAAGAGCAATAATAACTGCACTAATATTAAAAATGCAAACAAGTAAAGCTGCTCAAAACTCACTCTGCCAATGTCCTGTTCACTGACGTATCATATTCACTAACTATTCTTTTGATCTCTACTCTTAGCCACCTGAGCTCAGTTATTAATAGAGGTCCTTTTCAGAACTGGTGGACACCAGTTCTAGTAAGTCATGTTCATTCTTATCATTCTTTCTTTAATTCTTGACCCAGTCATTGGCTTATGTCATCAAATGCTTTACTAAATATTCCAAGTTGAGGAGACTGACAGATCTCAGAATTCCCTATATGAGGGCAGAAAATAATTTCCATTGGTGTAGTCTGTTAGGAGCGTGGGTGGGAATGGAATAGGCAAGACATGGAATTATTTGGTGTCCACAATGGAAAATATGAAGTATCATATAAGAGGATGAAGAAAGTGATGAGACATATAAGATCCTTGAGATACAAGTTCACCAAAGAGAGATATAAATGTCGGTTCTTTCAGAAATATCTCCTTCTTCAGGGATAATATAATTTAGTGATTAAATTAGTAATAATAGTGTCCAAAAGATTGGAGTAACTAGACACAGAAGGAAAGTAGACAAGTGGAAAAGAAAGACAGAAGGTGGAAGGGAATATAAAAAAGAGAGATTGCTGTGGTGTTGCTCAAGATTAGGAGTAGTTTTCTGACCAACCTGTTCTGTTCTAGGGTGTGCAGCAGCATTTGTAGAAACTCAATAATTTTGATTTCTGCTTCGTAGTATAATCACCTCCAAGATAAAATATACAATTTTTTTTTCCCAGTGAGAATACAGTTAATTAGTAGCAATAATTAACTAAAAAGTGTTAGTGACCCATTGATCCTTCTGAGCTCCCTAATAACCAACTGTTTATTAATTTCTCCTGGGAACCAGGTCTAAGAATCATGTTAATTTTCCCAAGTGAAAACATACCAAAAGAGATACTTAGTAATGAGAGGAAAAGAAAGAAGGAACATGCAAGAATATTTCCTGTATATTGGGCGAGATAATGGACTGGATAGGTGCAAAATAAATACCATTTAGGATAGGAAATGTGGAACCCCAAACCTACTTAGATCTACTGAGTTGGGGAAGAGTGAGAAGTCATCCAATTATTGTAGATGCCCTCATTCACAGAGTGGGAGAGAATGAACCCTATGTATCAATATTTTTTTCCAGAAACAAGATGGTTTTATGCAAGGGAGATATTCCAAAGCATTCTTGATTTGTTCCCATTAAACATTTTCTTTCTATTAACTATTCCAAAATTTATCACGTGACACTAAAATGTGTCAAATGAATGAATGGATAAATAAATGACTTTGTATAACTATTCTTTCCATAAAGCACATTGAATTCTGAGTGGATATAAGGGATATGGGACGATGCAAAATTGTTGAATAAAAAAGAGTTCAAAAAATGTGACTCTGGATAAGGAGTTGCAAATGATGACCCATGGGGCAAATTTGGACCTCTATGTCTTTCTCAAAGATTTATTGGAACACAGCCACAGTAATTTGTTTATGTATTGTTGATGGCTGCATTGTGCTACAACAAGCAGAGTTGAGTAGTTGAGGAGTTTCAACAGATACTACATGACACACAAAGTCTAAAATATTTACTCTTTGACTTGTTACATAAGAAGTTTGATAATCTTACCCCAGATCAAGCAAGTTATACAGCAGAGGGTACGGTAGAAGCATCACCCGCATCCATCTTCATCTTCGACACTTATACTTAGGAGTAAATATGCAGATGAAGGTTGAGAAGTAACTTTGTTGAAGTCCTGTAGATTTAATCTCCAGATACGTTGCCTGTACTCATGACTGGCTACATAATTGCATTGTGGGGATCAATGCAAAATGAATATGTAGGGCCTTTTGTTAAAAAAATCATTAAAAGAGGAAATCAATCCTTCTCAAACTCTTCCACAAAATCAAAGAGGAGGGAACACAGACTCATTCTATGAGGCCGGCACTATCTTAATACCAAAGCCATGTAAGGACATTACTTGAAAAGAAAACAACAGGCCAGTAACCCGGGTTAATATAGACACAAAAATTCTCAACAAAATACTAGAAAATTGAATTAAACAGCAGGTCAAAAAGATCGTTCACCATGGTCAAGTGGAATTTATCCCTGGGATGCAAGGATAGTTCAACATATGTACATCAATCAATGTGATACATCACATTACTAGAATGAAAGAAAAGTATCATATGATCATCTCAATAGATGAAGAAAAAGCATTTGACAAAATTCAACATTCATTCATGATAAAAACACTAAACAAATTAAGCATAGGAGAAACATATCTCAACATAACAAAGGCCATATATGACAAGCCCACAGCTAACATTATACTCAATGATAAAAAGTTGAAAGCATTTCCTCTAAGATTAGGAACAAGACAAGAATGCCTACTCTCACCACTCCTATTCAGCATAGTACTGGAAGTCCTAGATAGAGCAATCAAGTAAGAAAGAGAAATGAAAGGCATCAGAATTGGACAGGAGAAAGTAGAATTGTCTCTATTTGCAGGTGACATAATTTTACAGATAGAAAATCTTAAAGATTCAACCAAAAAATGATTACAGCTAATCAACAAATTCAATAAAGTTGAAGGATACAAAATTAGCATTCAAAGATCAGTAATATTTCTATAAATTAACAAAATTTTTTCTGAAAAAGAAATAAATAAACTGATCTCATTTACAATAGCATGCAAAACAATAAAATACTTAGGAATAAATTTAACCAATGAGGTGAACATCTCTATTCAGAAAACTATGAGACATTGATGAAGGAAGAAGACACAAATAAATCAAACATACCCCATGTTCATGGATTAGAGGAATTAATACTGTTAAAATATCAATGCTACCAAAAGCTATCTATAGATTCAATGCAATGCCTATCAAGATTCCACGGCATTTTTTACATAAATAGAAAAAGCCACTCCTAAAATGTCTATGGAGCCACAAAAGATCGTGAATAGCCAAAGAAATACTGAGAGAGAAGAACGAAGCAGGAGGCATCACACTTCCTGACTTCAATTTATACTACAAAGCTACAGTACTTGAAACAGTATGCTACTGGCATAAAAACAGACAAATAGACCAGCAGAGCAGAATTGAGAGCCCAGAAATAAAGCCAAGCATATATGTTTTTAGTATGTCATAATATTTGATGAGAGAACCAAGAATACTCAATGGAGAAAAAGACAGTCTCTTCAATAAATGGTGCTGGGAAAATTGAATATTCACATGTAAAAAAACGAAACTAGACCC